TCTTGCCTATACTTGCCTAGTGGCTTAGCAAGTATAAAAATCCCCTCTTTAAACCAACATAATATGTTGTTATTTGAGAAATTGTCAGAATCTGATACTGACAGCCCTACGATATTTGACATCCATAACATATCTATATGAAAATGTAATAATCTCAGACTCCCAGAATGAGTGTTACATGGAAAGGTACAAAGCCAGAAAAATGGTTATCTGCTCCGACATATATTTACTTGTTCAGTTTAACCACTCAGTTTTAATGTCTTGCAGTTGTGGCAGTAGCCAAAAGGACAACAAAGAATTTCAGGAAACATTCTGCAGAAGAGTGCTTTGGATAAAATGGTAGAAAACAAATAGCACAGGCATAAAAGCTCTCAGGAGCTTCCACAGGAAGAAATCTGGGAAAAACCTGAAACTGCATCTAGAGCAGGAAAACAGGTCATATTCTAAAATGTACTAGCTAACGTTTTAAGGAAAGTATTACCTGGACATACAAACTGCCTAAGAGAAAGTGCTGTTTATCGTGAACTATGGCAACTGTTGTATCTTAATCATCAGTTTTTGCAGCTACATTAAACTTTTGCAAAGCAGCAACCCAGGGTGTATATCTGATTCTGTGTTTTATTACAAATTATAAAAAAACCTCATGAATTGTAATGCTGCATGTTTCTGTTAAAATTTTCTCAGCCTTTCAGTTAATTTAAAAATGTTTCTGTTAAACTTTCTGAGATAGGAACTGAAGGGAAACCATGTTACTTTGGGCTAAAATGTTAACATTCTTTTCAATACGGCTGAGAAAGAATCTTGTGGATAGCTAAACATAACGGGGATAATACATCTTTACTCTTAAAAAGAGACATTAAAACATTATTATGTTCCTTTTATTATAAACATAATACGATAATAACAGAAGGCATTGTAATATTCTCTCCTCTCCAATAATTCATATTACATACAATTACTGAATTAGTTTAAGATGAAGACCTCACACACACCTCGGTTGAAACCAAACAATTTGCCCTGAAATTTAGCTGGAAAAATATGCTCTAAGAAAGAGGACAAATGGCCTTAACAAGACATTATTGCAATAAACAACAATAAATCTATGTCTTCAGAGCATAGATTTCTTTTAGTACTTTTGAAATGAATGAAGTATCACACAAAATTCAAGTTATGTAATTATATTTTTTTAACACTACATTCATTTTACCTTTAGTTTTCGTCTTGCATTGAATTTTCTCAATTGTTCTACTGTTTCTGGAAGATGAATCTTGTATGCATAGCGATCTCTCTCCTTAAAAAACCCAGAAAAAAACAAAACAAAAGAACGATTAAATACAAGCTCTTAATATTCTCTTGACATTAAGAAACTAGACCAGAAATGTTCCAGCGAATATGCATCCTGAAGAGAACGAGGATTTGTTGCAACTTAAGGAAAACTTCAAGAAACTGAGGGGGATTAAAATATTTTGAAAGAATTCTGAACTTGGGCCAGGGATATTTTCTTTTTGTAATTTTGTTTCCCACTTTGTAGTAAGACCTAGCCTTCTGTTTTAATGTTGTGCTGTTAGTCAGTCTGTGGCTAGCATTGAACTTTGAAGCTGGCAAGCACAAAGTAGTTCTGTTTTTCGGGATTCACAAATCCCAGTGAAGCAACGTGGTCACGCACTCTTTTAAGGGATACTTCAGGTAAACTTGGGAGATGGGTACATTTCCAACACAGCAGGAAGTGGCAGCTTGATGGCTGGTGGACACGAGGTGCGAGCTTACAGGAACAATTCTCCGTTGCAGATGCAGATGAAAAATTTGCCAATGAACAGTGGACAGTGGGGGCAGAACTTGCAGCAGCTGACTACTTTCTTCCCCTGCTCCAAATCATTACAGAAGCTACGTACACTTATTAATGTAACGTAAATGTTTATTGCATGCATCTCCTGAATCAGAGTGAAATCACTGGCAGAAGTAATTCAGTCTCTTTACAGCACTAAAGATGTCTCTGTCTCATGCTGTATTTGGCTGCTATCTATAAATGGTTTAGAAGAAAATTCTGAGTCAGCAGGGAAGGCAGTTTATCTTAGGCAAAAATAAGAGAGGACTGACTGACAGAATGCTGGCCTATGCTTGGAAACAAAGTTAAATCAAACTAAATCTTCTCTCTCCTTGCTTTGTCTGTCAACAAGTAACAGGAAGATCAGAAAGAGACCACAGACATCAAAAGCGCTATACTATACAGGCAGAACTTGCACATTTGCATTACAGAATTATCTTTTTAAAAAGCTTAAACAGCTTAGTTGCTCAAACAACAAAAATGGCTATGCTTTCTGCCAAAATAACCCTCAAAACCCCCTTGCTTTGACATTTAAATGTGGGTAAGCTCAGAAAGTGAGGCAAAAAGTCAAATTACAAGCACGTAAAACCAGATCACTTGTGTTTACCACAGCCTGTCACTGGAGTACGATCCAAACATGGTGTCCATTCCTATGCTCTTTGAAATATTCGACGCACTATGTACGCCCCTGATGAACAGCCAGAACTTTGGCTCCTTTTGAGTTGAAAGGTTTGAACCCACAGTTTCCCAATATTCAGAAGACTGCCTTAACCACTGTTACTCCCGAGAGGCACACACTCCTGCCCTCCTTTTATAAGATAGACCATTCTGCAGCTTGGAATACAAGAGCCAGAGCCAGAAAGAGAGCAGAGAAGTGGAAGAATGATGCTGTTCACTACTAGTTAGACCATTCACTTGAAGGGAGAAGAAGAAGAAATGAGTCTGTGCTTCCCAGGTTCTTTTCTTGTGGGTTTTTTTGGTGCCAATATTTGTCTCATATAGAACCTATAAACAGTCCAGGAACAGACACCAGAATAGCATCCTTTCCAAATAAGTGCCTTATTTAAGTTAATGATATTATGACTCCCTCTACCCTGGGTCCACACTACAGAAAAGAAATAGAGGATAACAAAGAAAAATAGTTAATTCATCATCTTCTGCCAGATAAAATACAATGCTCTGCATGAGTACTTGCCACCTTTTAGATCTGCAACACACCCATCATTCTGCAACTCTGATGTTTAGCACAGCCTATTAATGGGACTGCTGAGAAGCTAGGTGTAATTTCTGCTGCTCCTGTTGTTAACATTGATTGTCCAGCAACTATTCTTCCACTGGCTCAAACTGTGTTGTAAATTCTGCCACCACTGAAAAATTATTTGATGACCAGATGCCACATAATTTTATGTAGCTACAGCGACTTTTGAGCAACACACCACTACATACTTCCTTCACGCTGGTGGGATATTTCAGGGATCTAATGTAAGAGAGCAGTGCAGTTAAGTAGCATAATGTACTGGATAAACTGCATGGCTATGTGCGTAATAGGAAAGAGGACTTGATATGACTGAGCAAAGAGGTCAGAAATTACTCTTCTGGAGTTTGAGAGGCACAGAAAGACAGATGAATACCTTCTTCAAGCTTTATTCTATGTAGCCTTACTCCCTATACTCTGATGCTGCCAAAGATGCCTAAGTGAGTTTTGCTTTTGCTGTTAAGCAAGAGTTCAAGCGTGGCAATTATCAAAATCTCAGGTTCTAATCTTAGAAAGCATTTAAAGCTTATTATCACACATTTTGTACAATGTCACGTCTACTTTGAGAAGTTCAAAGAAACAAAGAAACAAATCTTTTTCTTCCTTGAAGAGGAAACTGGTATGTAAACAGCTGCTTTCACTACCTTTAACCAGGGATGATTCAGTGCTTCATATACTGTTATCCTTTCTGCTGGATCCAGCATAAGCATGCGGCGTACCAGATCTTTGGCACTTTCAGAAATATGGCTCCATTGCCTAGGATTCATCTGATTACAAACAAGAAAAAAAGAAATTAAATTAGTAATGAGAATATAGAAAAGAACCTTACTTCATTAGTGTACATTAGCTGCTATTGAAATGGCATAAAAAATTGAAAACAGTGAGCACTGTATCACATAACTGCTGACATATCCTTGGTATCATGGTATAATCACAGTGTAATTTTTTACCTATGCTACATTTTGTTCAGATAAAAGTGACCCTTCACTCAAAAAAGAAAAAATAATTTGGCTCTGTCTGACAGTTAACTATGCATATGATAAACGTAGAAATTAAATCTTCTCCTGAAATCAACATAAGGAATGGCATAACAGTCTCTCTATATCAACCCACAATTTTATGTCAGTGATGCTTGGTAAGAAGGGAGTCAGCTAATGCCTGTTGTGAACTACTCCGGTCCTGGGCCACAGGTATCATGGACAATGGCTCTTCCCAATAAACTCCTTTCAACTTTACAAGAGTTAAGCATCTTCAGCCACTCAAGTAGGAAAGCATACTGACGTGTGATCAACAATACAAGCAATTGCAGCATTTTTTAGAGCAGAACTGTATCTTTAGGAGAGAACAATGTGAAGCATGATTTAGAATATATTTTCATCTTGTGCATATGCAAGTTTGTGTCCAACCAGTCATGATGATGGACACCCAAAAAACCCACACTAAGTAAGAAAACGCTTTCTGTGATAAAGGATTCTATTCTTAAGCTATTTCTAGATTTTTTTTAATTTATGAAGAACTTAAGTTTTATTTAGATGGAACACTGCTAATTTTACAAGGTACTAAATGAAAATTCAAAATGATAGCCAGAATCTTTTCAATGTTATAATCTGTTCATTTAAAAAGGTCCATTTTATTTAAAATCAGTCTTTATGAAAAATGATTGCTTTAAATTGGAGCACTCAGGAACATTATCTGGCTATGAAATGCACATTTATAGCTGTGATTTGTCATTTCTTTTTCAACTCTAATGAAATGAAGGTAATTGCAAATTTGCAGCAAGACTGTTTTGAAATCCTTATATTATTTTCACTGAATAGACATATTATTGTGGAAACAGGAACAGAAAAGGAACTGAGAAGACACAATGTGCTGCCCATGACTTTTTTTTAAACAAAGAAGTTAACTTGTATGCTTCCAGAAGGTTTTAGCTGCTTAAGAGATTCCATAAAGAAATCTTCCACAAAGTGAAACTGGAACATCTACCAGTCTATGCATTCCCAAAACTAGCACCAGGAAGAAATCCTGCTGTTTCTAGGAATACAACATTCAAAAAATGACAAATATGCTCCTGACTAAGTGCAGTACCACTGCTGTCACTTACATTTTAGCAGACTACTGTTAAGTTCATATAATAAAATATGTCCTAAACCATATTACAGACTATCAGACAGTTTCTGCTTTTAGTTCACTAATACACAACTCGTGTATGACCTTGGTTGCAAAGTAGAACAAAACCGATCTTTGACAAAACCAGAAAAATAGTGAAGTTGAAGCTTTAAATTTGTCTCCATAATGGCTCTACGATGCTTATGTTGTCAAACATGCTTATCGTGCATGCACACTGACTTGCTTTCAGTTGCAAGTGGCTCCTTTTGAATCATCAGCTGCACTTCACTACATACTGTACTAAAACAAAAAATGCATAACTACACCTTTACAGTAACATGCATTTTGTTTTAAATCAAGGCAATATGATGACCAGCCTTTATGATAGTTCTTTTAGTTGATTACAAATTTTAAATGATCCTTAAACCTAAGGTAACATACAGTATGTTATACTTCACAGCTAAGCCTTATGTAATCCTACTGAGCTCAATGTACAATTATGGGCTAGTTGTTGCACCTATTTATTATCTCATCTAAGTAAATATTTCTGTATTCTAATTCCTACCATTGATACAAAACACAGCAGGAACAAGACAGACTGGAGAGAAAAAAATCATCTCTCTTCCTGTGCAACACAGACAGATTTCTGGAAGCTTCAAATTTAAACCAGGCTAAATACAAAAATCAACTTTCAGAAGTTTTACCAGCAGCGCTCACCTCACTAGAAAAGGACTCGGGTATACTGTTATTTACCTTGTATTTTCCTTTAATAATGCCTTCAAATAATCTCTCCTTGGTTCCATAAAAAGGCAAACAACCGCTTAGCAGGATAAAAAGGATCACGCCACAACCCCAAACATCTACAGGCTTCCCGTAAGGTTCCCTTTTTACCACTTCTGGGGCCATAAAATGAGGCGTTCCTACACGTCCTAAATGGAAATAAAAACAAGATTAAGTCAAAGTGATGTGTGTCAAACACAGAAATGAAGACTATCACTGCATTAAACCAAAACAGTTTTACTAAGTGTTGCTCATCAGTTAAACTTTTAACATAATTCTTTTTTCTTAAAGTTTAGTAGTTGTTAAATACATCCAGTAAGACAAATCAGTAGTTTCTCTTTTGCTTGATTTATACTTCTATAAATTGAGGAATATATTATCCTACCCTGCAGACTGTGAAACCAGACTTATATAAGAGCACTAAAATTCTTCAGTGAAACATGCCATATAAAAGTAAAAATATCAATTTGGACAACCTTTGAAAGAGGAATTTTTTATCCAGAGAGCACGTACAAACATACTGTAGAGTTCTAGTCTACACTGTTTACTTGAAAAAAACCTGCCTGTAATTGGCAAGAGCATAGTTTGGTCTGACACTTTGCCCAGACCTTAGCCACTCTACTAAAACTGCCGATGAGAACACAAAATGCTAGCACTGCTGTTTGTTTCTTTGAAGTAGGCAGTATCTTACTGCAGATAGAGAGATAACGCTAATTTGTTTTGCAGAGTGCTTTCAGTAAGTGCCACACAGTAATGGTTCTGGGACAGAACTGATTTTGCATTGGTAATGAATGTACACCCACAAAACCAAAACACATTTAGTACCAACTAATCCTTTGGGTGGGTAAACCAATTAGAATGACTTCATTCAATTTCTATGTAACACATTAAGCCAAATGAAAGCAACAAATATTTTACCTCTCCCTAGAAATGTTTCTCATTGTAAAGAGGTTTGTTTCCACTGCAAAGGATTTGCAAGAAGCTTTGAGTGCTCAGGGGCACCACTGACACTGACAAATGCTGTAAGTCTTTGAACCACCCTGGTTCCACCGAGTACTGACAGAAGAAAAAAACCCACAAGTGAAGCGTTACCACTTGTAACTTATTCTTGCTCACTGATACTACAGTGGGCTTTGGAGGCTCCATTCCAGGCTCACAGCACCTTTGCGCTGGCTAGGAGAGTTTACAGTGCAGCCTAGAGAATCCGAGACGTTTGCACAGCGTGTATTTAGTTCAGTCTTGTGTGGCAAAGAGACACTTGCTAGACTATCCTATCCCGCACACTGTTTAAATGTGAGCTAGCTAAGTCACAGCACTGGTAACAAACACCTAGGAGACTACCTGGCAGTAGCTTACTCAGTAAAGACCATCCTTCGTTTATACCACTTAATGCAGGAATACAATCTAACCGTGCGCTGTTCACTAGTCTCCGCTCACTCCTTTTTGCATCTACAAGGATTAAAAAATTGACAGAAAGACAGTAGCTTTTTCACCTTACTATTCTTAAGGAGAAACAACACCGTTGTCAAACTTCTTCACCTGGCTTTGTGTTAAACCTTTTAATTCCCAGTTTATGAGGCAAACCCTCTGCCAAACAAATGTTAGGAATCTGCCTGTGACAAAGGAACGCTACCTCACCTCTAAGCTAGGTCAGCATCTTAAAAAGTCCATGCAGTCTAGACTGATGTGATAGCAACGGGGTAGTTCCTTCTCAGGCTAAAAGAGAATAAAACAGCAAGATGCTGCAAGTCCATCCCTCACATCACTGGGGGAAGAGGAAGGATATTTACGCTGGACAGAGAAAGACAGAGATGGACACAAGGAAAGATTACTAATTCTTCTTGTTGGTTATACACAATTTATAGGCTTATGATGTATCTTTTAGCCTGAGAAACCTCAAAGTCAAATCTTCAAGTTCCCAAGTACGAGGGGAAGAATTATCTCCTTAGATGACCCTAAATCTCTCTCTTTCAGATGCCAGGTGACAGAGAAGGAAAATGGAAAGTATATATATCCAGTACGCACAAGTTGCTGAGAACTCTGGGGGGTTTTGCCTTTTTTTTTTTTTTTTTAATGTGCCTGCAAATCTCTATCTATATGCATTTCCTAACTTTTTTTCCCCTAAAATGCCATCATTTGCGACAGCAAAAACATCAACATTTCCAGCTCTGTATTGGGTTCTGCACGTACATAAGCAGCAACACCTGCCTGTTCAAACAGCATTTGAACATCCCTTAAACTGCACATGTGACATTAGTGGTATGCATACCACAGTCTGGAGATCTTTAGCACAGAAGACATCGTGCAAGACCGCAGAGCAGGCTAGCTTACCCAAATCTTATTTATCATGGTGGTAAACTTCCTGGCACTTGGGTGATTTTGGGGGAGGTATAACCTTTCTTACACATTGAAAACAACACTTGTGGTAACAAAATTCGTTCAAATCTTTTTTTTATCGATATGGATGGAAAATCATATATACTGTGAAGATTCTGCCTTCCTACCAGGCCTTCTAATTGCAGTTATGAAATCTGGGAAGTCTAGAGAAAATTGGTTATTCAAAAGACAAGCAGCAGAAATCACCAGAAGACAAGACGTCATAAGGACAAACAAAGCTGTTTAAAAGAGGCATCAAACTTCAGCGAATTAAACAATCATTGGGATCAAGTAGTTAATGAAACTAAGAATCCCAAGTATCAAATAATACCTAAGGTGATTTAATGTGTATTTCCAGTAATTATGTGCCACTCCTCCCAGCTCAGGACCTTCTTTGTGTTTTAAGTAAACAACTGCAGAGACAACATGGTAAAAAAATTACTATGTGCTGTGAGAAGTAGACCTAAAGCTGTGGGTTTTGTTTTTAGTGGTTGGCTTTTTTGCCAATACATTGAAGTCTGCTGGGCGTTTGCAGTACAGTGAAGGACGATCTTGTTCTGAGCAAAACGCATCCTTGCATACAGTTACCCATCCTGCACTTTCTCCTATGGTGTAAAATAGCCTATTGAGCAGCAACAAACACAACATAAGCAATACAATAGTGTTATTGGGTGTAGGTGTTCAGGTGTCCAGGTGCTGGCAGTAGGGTGGTCTCTGTGAGGAGAGGCTGGGGCTGCCCCATGCCGGACACAGACGGTTCAAATGGGCCCACAGCATGGCACAGCTGAGCCCAGCAGCCAGGATGGTGGTGCCTCAGGGTAAGCCTGCGTAAGAAAGGGAAAAACAGTGCCCGGCAGCGAGGAGTACAGGAAAAAGTGTGAGAAAAAGCCGGTGAGCCCCGAGGTAAGAGCGGGAGGAAGAGCTGCTCCAGGAGCTCCAGCAGAGATGCCCCTGCAGCCCCTGGAGAGGCCACGGTGGAGCACGTACACCCCTGCGGCCCATGGAGGACCCCACACAAGAGCAGGTTTCTACCCTGCAACCCCTGGAGGACCCCATGCTGGGCCAGGTGGATATTCCCTGAAGGAACTGCAGCCTGTGGAGGACCCACGCAGGAGCAGGCTTGTCCTGAAGGGCTGTGGCCCATGGGAGGACCCATGCTGGAGAAGAAGAAAAGTGTGAGGAGAAAGACATGGCAGAGAGAGGCTGTTATGGACTGACCACGGCCCCCCATTCCCCATCCCTCTGCACCACTTAGGATTGGGGGGTAAGGGAGTCAGGAGCGAAGGTGAGCCTGGGAAGGGGAGGAAGGGAGGTGGCGTATTCATTTTTGTCTTTTTTTCCCACTCCCCAAACTTATTTGAATTGGCAACAAATTATACTGGGTTTCCCCAAGTCTGTTTTACCTGTGATGGTAACTGGTGAGCAGTTTGCATGTATTTACCTTGACACATGAGCGTTTTTGTCCTATTTTCTCCCCCTGCTTTGTTGAGGAGGGGGACGGAGTGAGCAGCTGGTGGGAGTTTGGCCCTTAGCCAAGGTCAACTCACCACACGTGGTTATGCTGGTGTTAACATACAGAATACTGATTAAATGAGGAAAAATAAGATGAGTCTTCCTCCAAAGATACACCTTGTTTCTTTTATTTTCAGTTTTCAAACATCACCTTACCTGATTTAATCATGGGTTGTATATAAAGTTAGTAACCTACAGAGTCAAGAGAGTATCAAAACTGCGTATTTTTTTGCCTCTTTCTCCCCTTCAGCAAATAATGTTTCAAATTAAAATTACTTTGCAAAAATTGATAAGCAAGAAAAATCCTTCATTATTTATACACCCTCATAAATATATGCAGAAAAAAATAGTTTCTTGGAACTGAGCATTAATCAGCCTCCCTAAATTTTGCAAAGCAGGGTCTTGATGGTGGACAACAATTTCAGATTTGCTTTCCCCCTCTACCTCAATTCCTGACCACAGGGCAAGGAAATACAAAAATACTTACAGAATTAGTGAATATCAACAAGTAGTAACTTGCAACACTATGCTTATCAAAACTGCAGAGAAGACATAATGTGCAAGCATTTCTTATGCAGCAGCCATCCACTGCCAGCACTCTATTCATTACCAATGACCTTCATCATAGCACAATTTTTTTCCATAGATGCCTTCTTTTCTAACAGAACAAGCTTCTCGAGGTTTATTTCTTAAGTTCTAGGCAACAACAGGCAAATTATAGCCTCTTGATACTTCAAGGTTCCTATTTTGCTTTATCTGGTGACATCACATCAGAATGTGAGGCTGCATGCTTACTTAATACTCAAGAGCTCTTACAGACAAACTGTCAGACTTAGAAGGTATGGTTAAAAACTACTGTCCCTCTCTGAGCATCATCCCAAATTTTCTTTCTCCTCCTTTGGAAGTTAAAGAACTTCGATTACAGGTGGGAAAACTGGATCTTTGTTGCCCTGGTTCAAAACCAGTACACCACAGAAATCCACTTTAAGGAACTGCTTGATGTTAACCTGAAGGACTAAACTATTTCATGTAGGTAACATTCTACACAGCTATTTAAGACCCCAACAGACTGCTGCCATAAACTAAAGCAAAAATGGATGCTACTTAATAGCATGCTGAAACATCAATACTACTAAACCTTAATACTCACTTTTAAATTTAAAATGAGAACTCCATAAATACAAATTAAATGAGAAAGAAGGCTAGGCTAACTTAATAAAATCCTGCCATTTATCACTGATTTTAGATTCTAATTAGTAAA